ACAAATTCTAGTATGCTTGATGGAAAATACATGTGTATATATATTTTGTGCAGTTTGGAATTCTCTGGAACAGGTAATTTAATTAATTACTTTATCTAATTATCTAATTAACTTAAAGTTATTATTAACAATTAATTATTATTACTATATTACTAATCAAATTGTTTAGATATCAAAGCAAAGTAAATTTTATTTTTTATTTTTTAGGTGAACTTATTGTAATTTTATTTGGTGTTTTTATAAGTTTGGGGGCATTAAGTAATGGAAGCAGTGGTGTGCTTGGTATTGTATATTTGATTGATCAAAAGTACTACGTTGCATCAGCCTTTACAATAATTTTTCTTACAATGGTTTTAATTCAAACAATCTTACATATTATTTTAACAATTCAAGTAAATATCAAATTGCATTATAGTTATTATTTCAATATAATAACTATAACTAACGTATAGTTGGTTTTATTATTTAGGTTTATAATCATTACAAAAGTTTGGAATCAAATTCATTTTTTTCACTTAATAATAACGTTGGTAGTGGTAATGATGGTAGTAGTGGTTTCATAATTGTTGGAAGCGTCATTAACAATCCCAATCCTAATACTGGTGGTCGTGATGGCTTTACCACTGCTGGTTACACGCTTGGCAGTGGTCGTCGTGTTAGTAGCGGAAATTAACGATTAATTCGTAAAAGTAAGTGTACCCTGCAATTAGTAAAGTTGGGGATCATCATCATTAAACCTAAAATTCGTTTACTAACATTAATAATGATGATAGATATATTAAGTAATGTAATACAAAATACCTCAAACTTTAAATATATTAACCTTTGATTAATGTGTATCGGTGTTGACAATCGTACATTCGAAGATAGTAGTAATAGCAATAGAGTGCGAAATTCCTTTTAATTGTCTAATTTCATTTTCATACATCAAAATATGTGAATTTCAAATAGACTATATAAAATAACTTTTAAAGAATAGTTTTTATTACTTTTTTAAAAACAATATAATACATTTATATACAGTATATATAAAGCTCTAATATTTTTGGTGTAACCGATTTATTATCCCGTCCAGGATTATGCCCTGATGCTTTTTTTTTCATAATTTTTGGGCAAATTCCGACCAAAAATTAATATTCAGAAAAATTAAAATACATAAAATTTAATTTTTCTTTTAAAGCTGTGCGTTTATCAGTTAATATACCAATAGTTATACTAATCATTTTATTTTTTATTAAATTTTTTAATTTCTGTACTTCAAATTCATAACTCATTGCAAATATTTTTCTCAAAGTTGATTTGAACCTACAATATAACCTCCTAGGAAATAATAAAAATAAAAATTACATTAAAATATTCAAATTAATTTATTTTAATTTTTTTTGATATGAAAATTTTCTTACCATTCTTACAATATGAATTAAAAAAAGTCTTTAATTTATCCAGAGGAATATCAGCTTTAGTAAATGCTTCAATAATTGCAATATTGATTTTGTCATGATTATTATTAGTGAAAGAAAGCAAAGAGCTTTGTAAAGGTTGTGGATTATTTTTATATTTTTGTTCAGCAGCTTTATGTTTCGTTGATTCTATATGGTTATCAACAATTGATTTTTTTTCATGATTTATAGTATGGTTACAAAAATGACAATATTTTTCCCAGTTTCAACGTAAAAAATGATTATTATAATGACTTTTTTTCCTCAAACGTTCTATGGTTGGCTCGTTCTAAAGACCTCCTATTGCTGCGACATGCGGCCAAATTTCAAAATAGTAATTTTGTAATTCGTTTCAAAAATGTAATAAAATTTTTCAAAAAATAGGACTTCACGTGATTTTGGTTTTTCTTACTGCCAAATTTAGATACGATGGTCAAGAGCTAGTCTAAATTTGGTAATGTTTTTCCTAAATTTAGAAATGATCATAGTGGACAAATTCCTCGCGGGCATAGTAAAGTACATGTTTTAAAAAAGAATAGAACTCTACAACAAATAATTTTTTTGAGAAAATCTCTCTATTACATTAAAACTAAAGACATATTCTATCAACTAATAGAGCTATTTTTTTAAAAGGTAGGACAGAAAGTGACTTCTATACTTTTAAAATTTGCCCAAAATTTAGGAGGTCTTTAGACCAAGCCAACTATATTGCATAATCATCACCGATCACTTACATAAAAGTAAATTATACGCGTAGATTATGTGATTATGCCAAAAAATGGTCAAAAATTAAGAAGTATGCAGCGATTTATACGAAAGCATAATCCTGGACACCCTATCCCGTGGAATGCCTATCCACCAAAAAAACGGCATGAATAGATGAAGAAGATCCACTACATCCATTGGCTGTATAGATCATTTCATAACCTGAACGTTTGCAAAATTTAGTTTCAACAAATCAAAGAGATGTAATAGTCAATCTGGCAAAATTCACTCGACAAGAAACTGTGTTTACCGGCTAATAGCTTTATGCAACAGAATTTCAATTTCTTTCGGTTTCCTTATTTTTTAAAAAAAAGACTTATTGTGGCTGTTGATCGGATCATATATGTATTCCAACACATGTAAATAGAAATTTATGGTAAATTTAGTAATAATCGAATAACTTTAAATCGTGATGACCTTTTTTTATTTCATAATAAAATTGAAACAAAACTTTTCATAGTTTATTGTTCAAGTCTTATATAATAAAGTTACAGGCTTTTCGCCCTAGCCTATTTGGTTACAAAGTTTATCTATTAACGATTTTTTCAATGTGCTATACTGTATATACATATAAATTTTTTTTATTTAGCAAGAAAAAAACTCACTGTAATCTAAAAGCTTAACCTATTTACTCTAAAATTTCCCTTGGTTCATGTTTGTCTGATACAGTTTTTATTCTATTTTTTAAAGATAAAAAAATCTATCAATCTTTTTCTGACAACTGGGGTGTCAATTTTTAAAGGTCTTTTGAAGAAAGCCTGTTTGTTTAAAGTCGCTTCTTCAGGATAAAGAGTATTCAAACTGTTCGTATTATTAACATACTCATTAAAGTTTCAAAATCACATGGATGTTAGGCAGATTATTATAATTTTCACCCTTTAATTCCCACGTTTCTTCTATTGTTGATGTTGTTTTTAGACAATGGCGTTGATAAGGGTTTGGTTATGTTGATGAGCTGGCCACCTTTCTTTGAGGAGAAAAATCATTTTCTTTATTTTATATGCTGAGCTAACATTATTTTCACGTATTAACAATCTCCAAATGTACTAGGAAATTTATCCGCTAAATCGAGATACCGTTAAATCAAAATTTTGAATATAAGAAATTTCACTTTTTTAATCTTGACAACCTGCATTACAAATGTTAATAAAAAAAAATAAAGAAAATTGATTATAAATTATGATGTTATAGTAGCATCCAATTTTTAGCCCGCATCATTCTCACAATGTTATATAGCTGTTTATTTGCACGTACATGAATTAACAATACGTTATTATAACATATTATCATACATTATATATAATAATATATTAAACTATTAATCGTGCGTTATTACGATGCAATTTATCTTATAAAAATTAGAATGGCCAAAAAGAGCAAGAATCATCTATCAACGAAGCAGAAGCATGTATTACTGCATATACATAATAATAAGTCAACTATTCATATCTGGTTTAGAGCAACAATTAGATTCCTATAATCTATGATTTGAGATGGGCTACAATACAAAAAACATTTATTATTGTTTCTTTAATTTCATTATAACCCCCGATATGGGTTTTTTCAAAAACAGCAAATCTCAGAATCAATGACTCTTTATTTGATCGGCTAACTAAATGAAAAAAAAGAATATTTATTTAAAGACGTGATTTTTCTTTCATCTTAAAATTATCTCATTACAAATGAGTAAGTTTCCAATGGGTCACAGAGTCATTCATTATATTGAGTTTCAATAAAATTTGTTCCGATAGCAATATCTGCCACTAATTAAATTTGTTTCTAATAACCAACTTTCTTTTATTTATTATTTTTTATTCAATGTCACTGTAATACATGTAGGGTCCGAATAACAACAACATGTAGTAAGAATTGTGGAGAATGCAATATGCATTGTAAATGTGGTAAATAAAAATTTTCTTTTTTTTCTTATTATCTGGCTGAGAAAACTGTCTCATACAAACGATATTCAATAAAATTTGTTCTGATAGCAATATCGGCTAGTAATTATATTTGTTTCTATTAACAAACTTGTTATTTTTTACTCAAGGTAACTGTAATGCTCCCGGTTGGACATTAGATCGGGGCGAAATTACATGTAAGAATAAATCAACTTGTAGAAATTGTTTAAAATGCAAATCCCATTGTGCATGCCCTCGTCCTGGTAAATAAAAATTTTCTTTTTTTTTTCTTATTATCTGACCGGAGAAAGTATTTCTTTGAATCTCAATGTGTTAAATCTCAAATTGACTCTGTGACTCAAAAAAAAATAAAAAATTGAACATACTTATCACATAATAATAAAAATACAAACACTTATTTCAACATGGGTTTTCTATAAACTTTTGTTGCATTCCACTCTGGCGTTTTGGTCAAGGAGCGGTTAGTAACTTTGACATTATCATTATTCTTTCATTTTTTTAATCACGCATTTCTTCCCATGACAAAATTTATTGGTCATACACAGAAAATAAGCTAACCTGATTGGCTCGTGTCAGTTCTAATTTATGATCATAATGCGCATTATGAAATGTTTCTTCGCTCTACAACAAAGTTAGAAGAAGCATAGTAATGTAAGAAAAATGTTACCCGAAACAAAGTTGACCAAGAGCACGATCTTGGATCAATATGAAAGTTCAAATAATTAAGCTGGCAATCTTTAGAGTTTTGAAATCCACTTATCGCCCAAATATCACAAACCAATAAAAATACTTTGAGCGTGCAAATAGACAGTATGTAACAAACGAGAGAGCCAATTACGCGAATATACAAAGGTCACATCCACCCGCACAAGCTTCCCAATTAACTGGAAAAGTATTAACGGATTCGATGTTATAATGATGTGATATATATCAAGAAGAGCATTTAGGATAGCGATAAATTAACAAATACAAGAATGACAATAGTTATTCCAAAGAGCCAGACACTTTCTTCCCTTTTGGGAGCTTTTCTTGTTTAGTAATATCCAAATAAGGGTAATTTTGTTGACTCAATATTGTTTATTAATTAATATGAATACAAAAAAATGCATGAAACATGAATTTATTTTGTTTGTGATTGATTGATTAAATATTCGTGTGCACTTAAACCATTAATCATGATACACTCCTTTCTACAAATTAACATTATCATGTTTAAGCTTACCTGTTCCAGAGAATTCCAAACTGCACAAAATATATATACACATGTATTTTCCATCAAGCATACTAGAATTTGTTTAATCGACTATCTCAATCACTACTGACACTTAATGCATGTAATCGGCACATAACTCGAAAGCGCAATCCATTGACCGAGATTGAAGCTAGTAATTAAAATCCTGGCATTGAGGTATTTTTGAGGAATGAGATTGTTAGGAAAAAAGCAATGCCAGAGTCTGAGTATATATTCCCACTTGAAAAACAGGAGCAATAATATATACTATGGAGAAAGGAACGCAAATATAAATTGTCGAGAAATCGCCACATTTTACATGTAACTATGAGAAAAAAAAATCCAGGAAGCTGTATGTATTATTAGTCTATGTTGTCAACAAGCAAAACCGTGAACTAGATGCGGCGATCAACATTTTTATGTCATACATACGTTTTACGTCAGATAATGAAAAAAGACCGTTGGTTGATTGTTTAATGATAAATTAAAAATTTGATGATGATGAGATTATATTTTGTGTGTGTGTGTGTGTGTGTATTTAAAAAAGTAATTAATTTTTTATTTAAACAAAAAAATATTTCAACAAAAAAAATATCAAGGAATAAAATGTCTACTGCAAACGAAAATAACAATCAAATGTATAATGAACGATTCTCGTTTTTTTTTCATTAATTATTTTTTTTTTTTTCAATTGACATGTTGTATTGTTAGTATCAAAGATCCTCAAGAACAAATAGTAAATCCTTGGAATGTTCGTGGAGCAATCATTGAGGGAGAACCGCAAGCAATTAATTATGACAAATTGATCGAACAATTTGGTACAAAATCAATCGAAAAAGATCTCTTGGAAAGATTTGAAACTTTAACGGGAAAAAAATGTCATGTGTTTTTAAGAAGAGGAGTATTCTTTTCGCATAGGTCCATATTTATTGTTACATTATGCTCTTTTATTGTTTACATATTATTATAATTATTTGTATTATCATTAGAGGACTAGAAATAATTTTGGATCGTTATGAACAAAAGAAACCATTTTTTCTTTATACAGGACGAGGTCCGAGCAGTACTTCTATGCATCTTGGACACATGATTCCATTTATTTTTTGCCAGTGTGTAACACTTTTTTTTCGATTTTTTTCGATTTTTTAAAATTACTCATTATAATATATTTATATAGATGGCTACAAGAAGTTTTTGATGTACCACTTGTCATTCAATTGACCGGTTAGTATTTTTTAAAAAAAAAACCATATATTATATGTTGCATGATATTATTAAATTTTTTTTTTTTTTACGTGATTTTTGTTGTTTTGTATTTTCCACAGATGATGAAAAATTTCTTTTTAGAGCAGACCTTACACTAGAAGATGCTAATAAATACGCATATGAAAATGCAAAAGATATTGTTGCTTGTGGATTTAAACTTGAAAAAACTTATATTTTCTCGAATCTTGACTCTATTAGGTTCGTCGTTACACTAAAAAAATGTTATCATCGTCGGCATCGTCATATTCATTATTCTGAAAAAATAATTTTTTTAGCGGTCCGTTTTATCGTAACATTGTAAGAATAGCAAAGTGTATCACAACCAGTCAATTGAAATCTACTTTTGGCTTCAATGATAGGTTAATAATATATTCTAAAATAATCAATCAATCCACCTTCCCCACATACATAATATTCATATAAAACAAAATCATTACTTACAAAATGCCTATTAAAATAGCGATAATATTGGAAAACTTCATTTTGCCGCGATTCAATCTGCACCTTCGTTTTCTAATACTTTTCCTCAAATATTTGGTACCGATAGTGATATTCCTTGTTTGATTCCCTGTGCTATTGATCAGGTTAGTATTGTTAGGATATATTTTCTTTTCTACATACAATATGATATAAATGATATTGATGGCATATACTTATATATATGTATATATATATTTTTTTTAAAAAGGAACCATATTTTCGTTTGACGCGTGATGTTGCACGTAAACTCAATTACCCAAAACCAAGTTTGATTCATGCTAAATTTTTCCCTGCTCTTCAGGTATATATATATTCATATATTTATTACAATATTTGATATTTTATTGAAAAAAAAAAAAATGTAGGGTTCTCAAACAAAAATGAGTGCTTCTGTTGATAATTCTGCAATTTTTATGACTGATACTCGAGACAAAATCCAGACAAAGGTATTTATTGTGATATATATATATACTGCTAACTGACTGACTTTTTAATTAGTAATAATAATTTTTTTTTCTTTTAACTAGATTAATAAATATGCCTTTTCTGGTGGTGGTGATACTTTAGAGCTTCATAAACTTCATGGCGGTAATCCTGATATAGACGTGGCGTATCAATATTTGCGCGTGTTCTTGAACAATGATGAAGAATTGGATAATCTATATAAAACTTATAAATCTGGTGAATTGATGACTAATGAATTGAAGGCTGTGTGTATTAAAGTAATACAAGAATTTGTTGGCGATTTTCAAAAGGTATTAATTAATATTAATATTAATATTAATATTAAAGGAATCAAAATAATGATTTTTTTTAAAAAAAAAAAAATACAGCGTAAATCAGAAATTAGTGACGAACTAGTACGTCAATTCATGGATTCCAATAGAAAAATCCACATTTAAATTTTCTTTTTTACAAAAATTATTGCTGTATAAAACTATAAAAATGTAGTATTACAAAAATGATTAAAAATAAGGCATTAAAAATTTATTATCATTCCTTAATTAGAAAATGATATTAATTAAAAGATGATAAACTATATGTATGTATTTACATAAAAATATATATATAAAAAAAAAGATAGTTTTTTTTTTAGTTTTATAATTGGTTATCTACATGAATAAATTATCCTCCACCAAAAATAAATATAATAATAATAAATAAATAAAGTACAAGGAATTTAATCAAAAAAAAAACAAAATAAATTAATTAGTAATTAGAAAAAAAAAAAATATGAAAAAAAAATTAATTAAAATAATTAAAAATAATAGTAAATCTATTATTATTATATATTTTTAATATGAATAATAAAATAAACAATATTAAATTTTATTATTTATTTTTATTTAAAACTAAATTACTTTTATTTATATATTTGATGGTGGTGGTGTTATTATTGGTGATGGTGATGCTTTTCCAGGTATCACTATATGTTCCTTAATAAAAATAAAAATAAAAAACAAACCTCAATAAATAAATTTGTAATTTTTTCTTTTATTTCTACAGATAAAAAATTATATAATACTTACTTTGAAGTGGAAGTCTGGATCATCGTGTACAAAAGGATGTGATAGTAATAAATCTTCAGCGGTTGGCCTTATTTCAGGTTCACTATTATTATTAATATTAATGTTAATGTTAATGTTAATTACTATTAGTGTGGAAACAAAAAAAATTTAATATCCTTTATTATCTTAACGCACATTATAAAACATTTATCAAGACAATCTCTAGCTTCTGCTGACATTATAAGATCTTCTCTTATTGGAGGAGCTTTTTTCTCGCTTCCAAGCTGTATACATATAAATAAATTTGGGTAAATAAAAATAATTATTAATTAAACAATTATTATATGAAATTACTAACTAACCTTAAACATTGCAGCAAGATCTGATAAATTTGGCCAAGGTCTTTCACCAGCAAACATTTCGAGTATAACACAACCCAAACTCCTAAAACATAAAAAAACAATTGATAAAAAATGTATTTTTGAAAAAACAAAAGTTTACATGGTAATGATAATAGTGATAATAATACACACCATATATCCACTTTTGCACTATAACCTTTAGTAAAAACTTCAGGTGCCATCCAAAATATTGTACCTTGTAATGACATATTAGAACTATAATCGTATGCAAGTGCATGATCTAAAATATAAATAAAAAGTATAATATAATTGTTTTTTAATTTTAATTCCCAATTCCAATTCCTATTTTTTTAAATAAAAATAATAAATTTAACATACCACTTTTTTTCGATATCCCAAAATCAGATATTTTGCAAATACCATCCTCATTTACTAAAATATTGTCTGCTTTAATATCCTTAATAATAATACAGATAATAAGGTTTTGATGTTAGGATCCTCTATATAACATCCATATAATGATTTATGACAATAATGATTTGATAATTACTCTGTGTAATATTCCTCTATTATGCAAATATTGTAAGCCTAGTAAAATTTGTCGTGTGAATGATCTTACAACTGGTTCCTTAAGTGGACCATTCATTCTTAAATATGTACCAATTGAACCACCGTTAACATATTCAAGAAAAATGTTAACTTCTTCTTCATTTTCTTCATAACCTACATTATTGTATGCATTTGTGAATAAACAATATTTTTCAAAATATAATAAAAATGTATAAAAAACAATTAAGAAATAAATATACCAACCAATATATTGTACAATGTGATCATGATCCAGATCTTTTAATATTTTCATTTCATCTTTAAAAGATTTTACCTAAAAATATTTCAACAAAAAAAGATCAATACATGTTGTGATGATAACAGCAGCAACAACAATAACAACAACAAACAGTATATGCATTTATTAACCATATTTCTTTGCCTTTGATTTATTTCATCTGATCGAGTCCGTGGAGTTTCGACTTGTTTCACTGCCATCATTTCTGATGTTGTCACATTAAGCGCAATATATACTTTTCCAAATGTACCTTTACCAATAAGTTCACCCTTTACCCATTTGACAGCATCTTTTATCATTATCCAATTATCAATTAGTTCATTAATTTAGCAATAAATAAATATAAATTTATCGAATAATAAACTTACGATTTGATAATGATGAACAATTTGTTGTTTTATCTTGCATAATATTGTTTTCCGCATTCTGCTCACAAAATTTCATTGGTCTTTGTTCAACAGCTTTTTTACCCCAAAATTTGGTAGTAGGTTTTCTAGCTAACCGTTGGTTAGCTTTAACCGCGTTAACAGCTTCAATAAACCTTTTATTTTTTTCACGTTCGTGTACCTCATGAAGTGTTGAACGAATTGATTTATATCTTGTTATTTTAGCACCACCGTTACCACTACGGCCACCATCACCATTATTGCCATTACTTTTTTCTGTTATTACTTTAGATGACGGTGAAATTTCTTCTTGTTGACTTGCATTTTGTGGAGGTGCAGGTGTTACAGGTGTTACGGGTGTCCCAGGTGTTTCTGTTATCGGTTTATCAAGATCATGTCCAGGAAAAAATTGTTCGAGGTTCTCCAATACATCTTCAGTGGTCGGCCTTACAATCCACGATTCTACACCTCTACGTAATGAAACAGCCCGTGCAAGTTTACCACCACCTTTTGATGAATCCGAAAATTTTTTTTCTCTATTAGCCCTACCATTACTATTGCTACCATTACCATTACTACTATCGTCATTATTATTATTACTATTATTATCATTTATGTTAGAAGTTTCCGAAGCATTGTTATTATTATTACCATCACCATCATTAGGATTGGAATGGTTACTATTATTTTCTGTAGAATCGACAACGTTATTATGTCTTTCCGTAGCAATTTTGTTGTCTTTATAATTGTTGTTGTTGTTTTCGATTATCAAAGTACTAGTATTACTAACATTTTCTATAGTGTCAACTAGTTCATGTCTAACGATATTATCAGATTGTCCATTATTTTTATTGTAGTTGTTGTTGTTGTTGTTGTTGTTGTTGTTGTTGCTGTTGCTGTTGCTGTTGCTACTGTTTTTATTATCAAAAATATTAAAAATATCATTTTTGCTAACATTATTAACATCCGTCGGTAAAGGTGACGGGGCAGGTTTAACCGCCCAAAGATCATCGTCATCGTCGTCGTCATCATCATCACCATCATAACTGTTAATTTTAATACTCTCAGGTAGTGATAAAGTATTATTATTATTTTCTATGGTATCAACTAATTCATGCCTAATAATATTATCGCAATCTCCGTGATTATGAATATGTTTATTTTTTGAAGGAATGGGTTTAACCATCCAGACGCCCTTATAATTTTCATCTTCTTCATTTTGATTTTGATTATAGTTATGGTGGAAATCATTATTATCATCGTTATTGTTGTAGTTACTATTATCATTATTACCATAGTTTGGTATCGGCATTGGCATTGGAAACTTTATGTCTTGTAGATCATATTTAATATCTGATGGTTCTGCAGTAATTGGGCTAAACTCTTCTGTACTTTTCCAACCTTCTTGGAGTGTTGGATTAAAACCACCTGAAAAATATTTACCACTTGTATAAAAACTAGACGGTGATGAATTAGCTCTGAGTTCATTTTGGCTAGCCATTATTGGTAAATTATGATAAATTGGTTCTGTTGTTGATCTATGCTTAACAAAAAATTTTAATGTTCCTCGATCATCTGCATTCAAACATTTGTGAATTAGATCATTATCCTCTAATCTTGGTCCTAAAATTATATATATGTATGTATGTATATTAATTAAATTTATTAGTCAAATCAAAGATTCAAAAATTTTAATAATTATACCGATTTCTTTTTGTCCAAGTTCAGTCAAATGAAATGTATAATTCTCACAATCATTAGGATCAATATCCAATTGTGAAAATATTACTCTTTTTATTTTAGATCTTGGTTCATCCCCAGATAATTCAACTAAACGAAAATTCTTAAAATCAAATGTCAACTGGAAATTGTGCTTGGGTAAATTTGTAAAATTGTTTAGTGTTGAAGTTGCTGACGATATTGGATCTTCTAAATTATTTGAAATTCCATTAGACTAGATAAAAACAAATAAACAATAGGTAAGTATAATATTAATAATAATAATAATGATAATAATGATAATAATGATAATGATAATCATTAGTGTTGTAATAAATTAGCATTTTTAATAAATAGATTGATCATACATACAAACGAAGGTTTAGACTTAATATTATTAATATTATCAACGTTATTTGCTGGATGATTAATAAAAGGTTTCCACTTTCTGCTTATCGGTGAAGGAGGACTGGGAGTTTTATCATCAAGATAGCCATTATTGTTATTATATTGATATGGTGATTGATCATGTGGATCTTGAGATAAAAATGGGATTGAAGTTAATATAGTTGGTTTTGACCATTTTTCATTATCTAAAGATGCAGAAAATTTTCTTTGCAATTCATGGTCGTTATTTAATGTTGATGTTGATGACGATGGTGATGAATTAATCGTTAAATTTGATGAATTTTTATGATCCCAACCAATCGAAGAACTCCTTGGATTAATAGTAGGACTAAATGAATGATTGTTTTGATGATTGTTTGCATTACGCAAGTCAGGAAAACTAGTTGATAATTTAAGCGTTTTGTTTGTTGTAGCTTCCAATAAACTAGGTGCACTAAGGCGTGTTTGAGATGAATTATGCGTTGTTGGTGAATAAGATAATGAACCATATGTGTCACGAAGACCTCCTAATAAATCTTGAGAGCTCTATATATTGTATTATATTATATTTGTTATTAAAGTTATTAAAATAGAAAAAAAAATTTATTTTGTCACAAACCTTATCTGAAAATGAAGGCCGTTCACCTATCTTTCTAATAGCCGTTATCAATTTATAACGACCTTCCGTTTCATTTTTTAATAAATGTTTAATTTTTCTAAGGTCACGTAATGCAAAAAAATCTTCACCGTATAATTTATTGTCTATAAATAAATATAAATATAAAATAATTAATTGTATTATTATTGTTGTTGTCATTATTATTATTAAAAACAAATGTTTGATTTTAAGTAAAATTATTTTTTAATGCCAGAGATTCGATCATTAAACCAACGTTATTACAAGAACGCATAAATATAGTTACCAATAAAGATTTGTTTATATTCACTAAAAGAGTTATCCTCAAGCCATTGTAAAACTTTTTCAAGGGTCCACAATGAATAATCTATTTCCCCATCTATTGAACTTGATCTACTTCGATCATGAGTATGTCCTGCTATATGGTCTCGACGAATTAATGACATCAGCAGCAAAAATTTTTCTAATAAATATTACACATTATTTAATAATATTTATATATATATATATATATACATATATATAATAGAATGATGATAATCCTTTGTATTTTTATTTATACATTATAATACAAATTTGTGGCACCAACATGAATCAACAATTGTTCGTGAGCTAAGGTGTATACCAATAATGGTGAAACTCTTCAATTTAGTTCCCCATTCGTGAGTGACATGCACACACATGTCTTCCACATATTAGTGTTTATATTTGGCAATTTGTAACAAGTTGCAAAGAAAGAACCTTAATAAAGATGCAAGTAATAATAATTAGCATTATTATTTTTTAAAAAAACGGTGTGGTTTTCAAATGATTGTGACTTTATTGTGGATAAAACTGTTCTTCTCTTTCTCAACTGGGGATTAGAAATCTGTTGATTTGTATACACAGTCAAACATTGTCACAACGGACTATATTATTAATAATAGTAATTAAAATTATCATTATCATAATAATAAATAACGGGTTTTTTAAAAAAATTTGCATATAAAAAGCCGTAGTGGCAAGATTAGTACTAGTAATTTTGCCATATGTGTTTCGTCCATCCTCCGTGACAAACTGCTCAATTTAATATTAACCGCTTTCTGCGCCACTCGACCAAAAACAAAAATCACGTGCCAAACGCATTTGTACGAGTCCAAATTTGGAAATAATCATCATATCTCAATAAAAGATTATTATAAATAAATAAAATTCATGATTATTTTTATTTTATTATAAACATTTTCAAATAATATGTATATATGTATAATAAGTAAGGTTCAGCTGTAATTCACGGATCATACGTTGAATTACATGCAATTGCTAATTGATGACTTTAAACATAAAATCGTGATTATCTAACTTGCACGTCATTAAATCATTGGTGGGATTATTGGCAGAAGAGAGAGAGAGGTTGGGTTATCGTACTTCTTTTGCTTTGAAATTCAAATCCGAAATAGAAATGGAAATGGAAAAAATAAATAAATATAATTCGAAATTCAAATTTATTGAGTGAACGTACGAACCTTTATTAAAATAGTACCATTTTCAAAATGTGCTTGATTGTTTTTTTCAATTTCGACAACGAGAAAGTAAAAATTAGTGACGGAGATGTGTCTGTTACACTTTAAGAAAAGTCTTACACTTGGTTGGATGTAAGAATACAGTAATAGATATTCGATCGACCTAATCAATCGGATGGATGCATGAAATGCAAGATAAAGTAATTAATTGATAGTCGTTTTACGGTTTGAAATTTTTATTAAATAATAAAACATTTGTCATTCTTTTTATCGATAACTATCTCTTTATTTATTGGTGTTACATTGTTAATAATCGTTTTGTTTAACAACGAAATTAAAAAAACCCCCTCCCGTCATTAATCATTTTGTTATTTGGTTTGAAAATTTGTTTTTAAATAAATAATGTCTTCTATTTTGTCTTGTAATGTGTTTATTATTATCAAGAGCCTAAGCGGCGAACTTTGCAGAGTAGACGATGACAACTTTCGCCAAAAAAAGCTTCAAGGTATCTTGGAGTAATTTAAAAAACATGATCCAAGAGATTAAAGAAAATATGTTCTTTGATGGTTGGAACATTTTTTAACATTGGATCGGAGCTATTCTTAAGAAATTTTTTTAATAATAATTTATTTTATAGGTTCCAATTGGCCAATTAAAATGACTCTTTCTTCGCGATAATTTTTTTGAATAGATAAAAATGCCATGGACACAAAAAGGTTAAATGTTTCGTACGTACTAAATGGACTGAACGAAATCTCTCCACGTTGATACCTTTTGGTCCCTATAATAATAAGGGTGAAATTCAAATTATCGTCAAAGTTTCATATCCAAACACTCCCACCCCAAAATTTTAATTCACACAACAGAAATAATAAATAAATATTTTATTCTTTTCATTTACATTCTTAAAAAAATGTTTGAAATAATGAATTTACCGTCTGGACTTCTAACCGAAACATTCAAATACATTGAAGATGATTATAAAACGTTATATTCCTGTATCCTTGTCAACAAACAATGGCACAATACCAATATTCCAATTTTATGGAGAAATCCATTTTATTCTCTTAACAGCATTAAAAATATTAATTAATTGTTTATTGGAAGTATATAAGAATTTCTTAACTAGAACTGAATTAACTTTTGAACTATTGGAGAAACACCATTATACAATTATGTCTGGTTTTGTACTATAATGCCCAATTACCTGATAGAATCGAATATTTTACAAAATAAATTGGGAAACTTTATTTTAGATCATTCAGCAGGTATTAGAAAGTTTAGTATTAATTATATAGTTGTTTTCGGAATATTTATGAAAAAGATTGTAATTTATTAATTAATCATCATAAATTTGATAATTGTTTTCAGAATCTATGAAATAGATTGTAATAGTTCTTATAGTGGTGAATTTTTTGATAAATTGGCAAACATTTGTAAAAAAATATTCAATAATTAATAATACAATACATAAGTAACCATATATATAAATTGGCACAGCTAATTAAAAACACAAAATCAAAAATTAAATGGTTAGTTATTAAATCAAACATCGGGACAAAACTTGCCAGATGAATTAAAAAGGCAATATTAACGTATTCACAATTAATAATTTTTTATAGATCTTATGGTGGTGGAAATAATTTTAATGATTTATTATTAGAACTTTTAAAAACTTAAAGGCTTTAGAATTAACACCATCTCATGCTGATAACAAGATAAAAAGTTGGAAAAATATTTCACTGTCAAAGATTGAATCTGTGAAGTTATGTATTAACTGTCAACCATTTCTACCAGACTTGTCTGATTTTATTAATATCAATGGAAAAATCTTAAAAAATTGGATGTTGATGGTTATCACAGGAAAGATATTTCAATCAATTGCACAACATTGTAAAATTTAATCATATTTTACGAGGATGAATTCGACCAGGAATTAATGGAAATACTCAAAAATTGTATTGAATTAAAAAGTATTATTTAATAATTATTTTTCTGGTAAAATAGATTGTGATAAAGCGTTAACAGTGTTAAATGAAGCATTACCAAAAAAACTTAAAGTTAATCACTTTTGCTTATGGGGTTTATAAAATTAGTAATAACTATCCTTTAGATATTCTAATAAAGAATTGGGGAGGACCCAAACCTTTAATAATAAAATTTGATAAACATGGAATTTGTGAAGAATGATGTTAAAAAAATACCGGGATTTAAAAATTAATAGTGTTTAAAAATCATACTTTTACCAATTTAATATTTAATACCAATAAATTGATAATAACCCGAAAAATCATTAATATTAAAGTAAACAATAATAATATATAGTTTTTCATTTTGAATTATATTTTTTTCTTTTGATACAAGAAAATGAAACTTACATTTTATATTGTAATTAAAGACACTTTTGATTGTTGCAACCATAGATAGTCATTTTTTTTTTTTTAATTGCGACAAGTATCCTTAATTGCAATAAAAAAAACCTGATGTTGATGAGTAAAAATTATTACGTACGAAATGTTTACGAAACGTAATATTAACACATTCAGATTTAGTATTATTATTATTATAATTAGGATTATCACCTTCAAGTTGTCCTGAACATTATATTCTTAGATGTAGCATACATATTTATAAAAGGTATTTCGACTTTCTATTATTATTATTATTATTATTATTATTACTATTATTATTATTATTATTATATTATTATTATTATTATTACTGTTATTATTATTATTATTATTATGGAAATTTACTCTTTATCGGATGTAACTTTTCATTCCCCGTGCGTAAAACTTGTTTATTTATTATTATCTTTTCAAATATAAAATAAATACTTATAGCATTTATTTATGTTGTAATATAAAAAAATGGTTAATAAAGGCATTATTTTCAAGGAATATATATATATATATATATATATTTAATTATAAAATTGGGATTGAATAATTAAATTATAAATAAATATAAGGAATAAGGAGATGTTATAAACTGTTAGTGTTCCATGTCGCAATCCAAAAAAGGAAACAAAATGGTCGTAAAGGTGGTTGCAACCAGTGGTTGCAATCATTTTTATATGACGCAAAGGTGGTAGCAACCATCATCAAAAGTTGCAGCCGGTATCCTTATGACAAACGTGTTCATTAATTATTTATTATTATTGGCACTTGGTGTTGCACAAGTTTTTCTTTTTGTTGACGCGAATCGTTTTTTTTTTTTTTTTTTTTGGAAAAACAATTTATTTTTTGATTTTTTGACAGAGTCCAAAAATGACAAAATGCGGTTTTCCTAAAGAAGACTGTTAATAACTAACCAGAGGTACTATTTTTTACTTGTATTGATATGTATGAGGTGTCTTTTAGTTCATAAATACTTTAATGGGAATCAAAATGCAGAGCAGATCATTTCTGGGCAATTATAAGATCCTTATCAACAACGAACAATTAGTATTTTGCTTTTCGTAATCGTTAATAATAATATTACTATAATTTAACTACAAGATGTCAAGGCAGCACATTGTTGAAAAAGAAACAATTCGATATGCGATGTTTGATTATCGGAAATTTACAGATGTTGGAGCACGCATGCTGCCTTGAACACTTTACAGTCATTCTCACATATTCCTCGTGTACACAAGGCTAATCTGACCATGTCTCTCCGATGATACAACAATGCTACAGAATTTTCAGGGGGGTGTATGGCCCTGGAGTTTGCCAAGATTGTCAAGGACACTTTTCACTAATCTTCCCTCACCAGATATGGCTGCTGACATGCTAGCCGAAAAGTTGCCTGCAATGATCCCACCTCTGGATAAGGATGGCTCTGTGACCAAGTCACAACCCTGGAGAATATTATGAGAATCTGCAACTAGTTTCAAGCACAGGAGGTCACAATTCAGAGCAGGGTTGGTGGCCCTGAAATTGCATTTGGGCTCTGATGTTAAG